CACACACACACACACACACACACACACACACACACACACACTGCATTTGATGGGAATTTATGGGCACAAACAAGGAATTTTCAAAATTGGAGTTGGCTCTGAATAGGAGTCTTAAATACTGTTGTGGAGCGTAATCCTGACTGACAATTGTATTTCATGCAGGTAGAGTGGTACCTTGACTTACGAGTTGTGATAGACCAAGGGAGCTTTTTTTAGGCACTTGTGATTTTTTTTTCATTGCACAGCACTTTGAGTTGCATTATTATGTATGAAAAGTGCTATATAATAAGGTTTGATGGATTGACTGATCTGCTGACAATAAAATTTCCTTGACATCACCCGCCTCCAAATTCCCCAGAAATTTCACAGCCATTTGCAATCCTAATTCCAACTATCAATTGAGATTAGTGATGGCCAAATGAAGCTTCATCAAGCACTTGTAATTTGTGACTGCTCAACATGGCACTCTAATGGTTTAAGGATGCAGTGAAAATGTAATACATTTCCATCGAACTAGCCATTATCTTTAAACAAATGGCACCATTGAGAGGAGTCAAACATATCACAAGTACTTCATGAAGCTTCATTTTCCCATCACTACTTGAGACCCTCTGGCTCAGTCAGACCGGAGTGCGTGAGGAGCTCCCCATCCCAAAGTCCAAACGCGGGACAGAGGGGAGTCTTGAAGCGTCCTCTCATGGCGTGAACGATCCTTGGTTTCTCAATGTCAACCAGGCCCAGAAGGCCCGCCTCGAAGTCCAGCAGGATGCCCATACGGTCCGCCTTGCCCACCAGGGTGACGGGAACCATCTTGTTATTGGTCATAGCAAACCACTTGCGCTGAGCGTACCCAAACACCCACGAGGAGGCACTGGTGCCCACGCAATCGTCGCGGGACATCAGCGCTTCGGCCACGCCCACTCGAAACTCCTGGGACTTTTTGACCGTCACCTCCCAGTAGTGGCGACCGCCCGTGATCTTCTCGTCGGCAAACACCACCGCCCAGTCTCGGAAACGCTCGGGGTTGTCTTGCACGTGGCTGGGATCGAGACCCAGCATGCGGTAAATGACGCCTGTGTCTTTCTTGAAGAGGTCCAGACTGCTGTGAGCAGTCCTCTCGTCAAGGCGGAACTGGAGACCTGCACACAAACGGACCACAATGGTTAAGGTGATTGAATTTGAAAAAGAATGAAAAAGTGACTGACTGTTTTGGTATTTGATTTTAAATCCAACACGTACACAAAAACAAGAAATATGACTGATTTTGAAGTTTTTCTGTCCAGATGAAGACAAGTAAATCCATGCATCAAAAAACATTAATCAGACACACTATTTGCTTTCATGGGCCACAGAAAACATTGAGGCTTGACCTTATCGGCCCTAAGTTTAATCAGCCTGCTCTGAACCAGTTACGATACGACAGATGAATCATTTAATGGATCTTGGCTCCAACTGCCTGACAACTAACTAACGCAGCTTTACTATTGGAGGTCACGTAAACCTGGTCCATTAATCCAAATAATTTATGCCTCAAGATCTGGTGTGGCGGCACAGTGGTGCTCCAGCCTTCTTGTGTGGCGTTGGCATGTTCTTCCCGTGCTTGGGTGGGTTTTCTCTGGGTCCTCTGCTTTGCTCCCATTCCAAAAACATGCACGGTAGGCTAACTGAGCACCTAAAATTGTCCTTAGGTGTTATTGTGAATGATTGCTTGCCTAGGTGTGACCTGCGATTGGCTAACATCCAGTTCAGACTGTACCCCGCCTACTGGCCAAACAGAGCTAGGATAGGCTCCAGCATGCTTGCGACCCTTGTGAGGATAAGCAGGAAAGATAAAGGATGGATGGATGGATGTTAGATCTGTTGCGTTAGATGATGTATTTGTAAGACTGATCAAGAAAGTGTGACTTATAGTTTCTGTGAATAGCCATTTGATATCAGGTTTTCAAAAATGTAGAGAAATACATTTCTGAAACGACATGTCATACTATGAATATTGAAAGTAAAAATATCTCTTATTTTGTATACGAAGATACTTGCAATATTGTTGGTCTTTTTATTCTGTTAGGGAAATGTCATATTCAAAATGTGAATTAAAAAAAAAAAACAAGTGTTGGCCATTGTAATTATAAATATCTTTTATCTGTACAGTATTTGTAGAACGACTAATTTGTTTTCTCATTTTGTTTTGAACTTGTTTTTATCATTTAGGAACCGTATCCAAGATCTCAAATACGATATTTTCAATCAAAAGAAATGTTTGACACATTGACACTACACTAAAAGTCGGGTTTATGTTACACCGTTTCAAAGTGAGCCAAGGCACAGAGCAGCCTCCTTCGCCTTCCGTCCCGTTCGAGCATGCAAAATATGAGTACCTACTGACCTCTAAGCAGCTTCTGATTCCAAGCTGACGTGTTTTTTATTTTTAGGTTTTAACTTTGACGTGTTCACTTACTGTTTTCAGTTGACGTGATGAATTGTCTTCCCGCCAGCCAGAGAACACTTTTTTGTGTGTGCCCAGCCGACAAAAAGCTGACAGTCTTTCCAGCCAGGCGAGGCACACGAGCAAAAACGCCAGGTGACGCCATGTTTCCTTCCTTGATGACGTGACCCTTTGCTTCCGCTTGCCTCGCTGATACAAAACAAATCAAAGTGATGGTATCGCCCCCTGCAGGGACGGGGGAGAACAATTTGAAGAACAGCACCATGGACAGCTACCTTGCATAAATTGTGGCAAAGTTCCCAACCATGATAAGAACGGAGCTAAATTAAATCCATGTGTTTAATACAGTGGTACCTCTACTTACAAAATTAATTGGTTCTGGAAGAAATTTCTTAACTAGAAAATTTTGTAAGTAGAGACGCGTTTTCCATGTAAATGGCTTAATTCCTAACAAGCCCCCCCCCCAAAAAAAAATCAGAAAAAATGTTTCCTAAAACATAAAAATGCATCAAAATATGTAACAAATACATGTTACAATTAGAACATTGCACGCATTTATTGTGTAATGAAGAGTTGTGCATAATGTTAAAAACAAAGAATAGAGTAAAGAATAAAAATGATGGTCATTTAACTTTTAACTGCATCCGTTTCGTAACTTGAAAATTTCGTGTGAAGAGACGTTCATAAGTAGAGATAACACTGTATTGAAACCCATGAAAATTGCTTTTTCATTTCTTTATTTCTTTGTTATTTACTGAATCGTTCAATTTGGGTAAAAACTCATCCTAGACTCAATCGGATGATCCTAGACTTATCTTATATGCATTACAGTTTTATTATTGCATTTAATTCTTTTAACCATCTTTCTTTGGGGCGATGGAGGGGGGCGGAGGGACAAGGAAGCAATTTCATGTCATTAAAAAAAATTCTGAAAACATCAACAGCAAAATAGGGGCGGGGCTGAAAATGATACAAAAGATCTCGAAAACGATTAAACCGTGAAAAACGATTATTAAAAAAGTCTGAAAACATCAATGATTCCCAACCAGTGGGGCACATTAGTGTGCTATGAGAACTCGAACGGTGTGCTGTGGGAGATAATCAAATTTTACTTAATTGGTGAGAAAATTCTTTATTTATACCAAATAATGCATCTTTGTCCATCTAACTATGCCAACAACTTATAGTGAAGGAAAGAACAAATAAATAATTTTCTATTTGATGGCTAAAATTATGAAATTGACATATGTATCCTCTTTTTGTGACAATTTTGTTTGGTGGTGAGCCGTGCGATTTTTCAAACTTAAAAAAATATGTCTTGGCTCAATAAAGGATGGGAATCACTGGTTTAGTCTTCCTGAAGACAATTGTCCATTTTTCAGGTGACGATTTTTTAAAAATAAACTGTGCTGCTGCTGCTTACGTGGACGCGCTCACACGCACGCACGCACACTCGCAACCCCGTAGGTGTTCACATGCAAGAAACCTCGCGCCTCATCAGCTACTGCAACAAGCGGGCATCTCACTCCTCGGCACGTCCACAGCAGGGAAGCCGGACATGAAAATGTGCGCCTCGAAAGAGGCAGGCTTGGCTCCAACTCTTCTTAAATCAGCTGAATTGTCTTGAAGGATTTGTGTGTCGGTTTCGTCTGCGACTCTTCTGCTGACGCGCACTTACCACGCGCGCTCCATTGCACACATGATCGACGAGCAAACGTGCAGCCTGATTTGGTGCTGCGTTTAGGGAACTTGACATTGACTCGGGTGCTTTTTTGAGGGCGGAAGCGGGCGGGGAGCCTTCTAATCGTCACACTTGCGCGCGTGGGAAATGGAGAGTGGACTCCGTGGGCGGTTTACTGCGTGTCCGCACCTGAGCAGGTGGACGGTCGGCGCCACAGGTGAATGAATGCACGAGTAGGTTGAAGTGCGTGGCATCGAACGTTTTACCCGCACCGCGCCGTGACGATGGACCTGAAGGTGGAACGGGAGGAAACGGACACCCATCATCCCCCACCGATTGAAGTTTTCGCTCACAGGTCCACGCTGCACGGCATCTCGCACATTTTCACCTACGAGCGCTTCTGCTTCCGACGTTGCCTGTGGCTCGTCGTCTTCTTTGCCTCCCTCGCCGTGCTGATTTTCGTGTGCGTGGACCGAATCCATTTCTACTTGGAGTATCCGCACGTCACCAGATTGGACGAGGTCGCCAGCCCGATCATGACGTTCCCCGCGGTGACTTTCTGCAACCTCAACGCCTTCCGCTTCAGTCGCGTGACACGCAACGACTTGTATCACGCAGGGGAGCTGCTGGCGCTGCTGAACCACAGGTAGCCTTCACTTCACTTGCTTTTGCACGCCCGTGAAGCTATTTGAATGCAAAGCCCATTTTAAGGTTACTTCCCAAAAAAAAAAGAACTTTTCTGGGTGTGTCTGGCGAAGTAACCCTAAACACAACAGTTGTAATTGTCACTTTGCTGCCACATGGAAGTAACCGCCTATTGTTTACAAACATTAAATGGAATCAGGGGTCACCAACCTTTTCTAAAGGAAGGGCTACTTCTAGGCTGCTGATTAGTGCGAAGGGTTACCAGTTTGTTTAGCACTTCAAAAATGACAAATTTGTTAAAATTACGTTTAATCACGTTGTTATTATTGTTATTATTAGGGCTGAGTGGGGCCCTCTACCACAGGGGTCCCCAACCTTTTTTGCCCCACGGACCGGTTTAAGTCAGACAATATTTTCAGGGACCGGCATTTAAGGTGTGGCGGAATTAATACAACAAAATAATATGGTATGAGCTGCATGAAAACTGTGGTGTTTTCGAAATATAATAATAAACACAAGGAGCGTCTAATCTGGTCGCAACACTCTTATCGCTCTGGTAATGTTTAATGCCTTCAAAATACGATACAACGCAAATTCAAAGTGCATGAAAATGACGACTCACCACAG